CTATTCTTGTTGGGAGGTCCTAAGAATATCACTTTTATTTTCCCACTAGAATCCTTTCTAAGCATGTAGTGAGCATTGAAGGTAAAAGGTCTAGCATGCTTGGGCAAGGGTTGTGGTGGTGGAGTTTGGCACTCATGGGCAAAGTGTCCTTCTTGTCCACACTCAAAACACTTCTTTGGCTTTGGCTTTTGTTGTTGTTGTTGAGCTTTAGCCTTCTTCTCTTTAGTTTGCCATGTACCCAATGCCACTTCTATCCATCTTCATGACGGTGTTCATTAGTAGCTCACTTTGAAGATGCTTGCCTCTTGTGAACTTGCTCAATCCAATCTTGAGATGCTCTTTCTCCAACTTGAGCTTCTTGTTCTTTTCCTTGAGTGCATCATTATTTTTCTCTTCCTTGAGTTTCTTGTTCTCTTCTTTTAGCTTTTCATTCTCAAGAATCAAATCACCATCATGATCAAGAGTTTCTAGCACAATAGTGTTGTGGCTTTTGATCTCTTTAAGATCTTTCTTGAGCTTTTCATTGTCATTCTTGAGCTTGACATACTCATCATAACTATTGGTCTCAACCACTTGCTTGCCCTTGCTACTAGAACTTTGCTCAATGCTCTCAATGATCAAATCATCACATGATGTTGCTATATCAATCTTAACAACATTGTTAGTAGCATCATGTGGCTTATTGGATAAATATTCTTAGGCAATGACAAGATTATCATGATTAATCTTAAGAGTAGTATATTCTTCTTTTAGCATGTTGTGGCTAGTGATGAGCTCATTGTGTATCCTCTTAAGTTTATCATGTTTTTCTTTAAACTCTTTCTTAGAAGATTTGAGCTTCTTGAGTTTGGATGATATAGCATCATTTGCTTCTCTAAGCTCAACATTAGCCTTTTCCGCTACATCATATTTAGCTAAAAGAGAATCATTCTTAGCTTCTAGCTTGTCATTCTTAGCTCTAGTCTTTCTAATGATCTTAGTATATTGATTTAGCAGTTTGACAAGATCATCATAACAAGGTGATTCATATTCATCATCATCACTATCACTATCATCATTGCTAGCATTTTCATCACCACTACTATCATCATTGTTTGATACCTTTCGTTCACCTTTGGCCATAAGGCATAGGTGTGTAGAGGATGATGGCGGTGGTGTCGGTGAAGATGATGAAAAGTCAATCACAATGGCGGCCACCTTCTCATTATCACTATCATCATCGGATGAGCAACTAGATGAATCAATGTTCGTGAGCCAATCACCGATGATGTATGTCTTCCCACTTTTCTTCTTCTTGTAGAGGTCCTTCTTGTCATCTCTCTTCTTGTATGGCTTATTTTTCTTCTTCTCATCTTCTTCTTCATTACTTGAATCATCTTTCTTGCCCTTGTACTTGTTCTTGAACTTGTCTTTCTTGGGCTTTGTGCATTGGTGTGCTAGATGACTAAGTTCTCCATAATTATAGCAATCCATCTCCGAGATTGGCTTCCTTCTAGAGCTAGTGAAGAACTTTTTTTCTTGCCATCAAACTTGATGCCACTCTTGTTGAGCTTCTTTAGCATCTTGGTGGTTCTTCTCATCATGAGAGCAAGACTTGCATCATCAACTTCATCATCACTTGAGCTCTCATACTCAATTCTTGCTTTACCCTTCTCTTGGCTAGCTTTGAATGCTAAGTCTTTTTCTTTCTTCTTTGTAGAGGATGAGCCATCTTGAGGTGTGATGTGCATGTACATCTCATGAGTATTGATCTTTCCCAAGATTTGTGTTGGTGTAGCGGTGGAAAGATCACCTTGATGAAGCACGGTCACAATATGCCCATATTTATCAATGGGGAGGACACTCAAGATTTTTCTTACAACGTTGGATGGTTACATTTGAGTAAGTCCAAGCCCATTGACTTCCTCTACAAAAATATTCAAGCGTGAGTATATTTCATTAGCACTCTCTTTAGAAAGCATCTCAAATGAATTTAGCTTTTTCATGACAAGATGATAGCGTTCCTCACGCTCGCTCTTAGTTCCCTCATGGAGCGCACAAATGTCCGACCATAGTGCATGGGCGTCCTTGTGGTTCCTTACCCGGTTGAACACATCTTTACAAAGGCCTCTAAATATGGTGTTTCTAGCCTTTGTATTCCATTTCTCGTAATTCACCTCATCGCCTTGTAGGTGTGTGGCATCCCGAGGTTTTGGAAAACCTTATGAGGCGGCTCTAAGTATTCCAACATCTAGAGCTTCTAAATACGCCTCCATGCGGATTTTCTAATATGGAAAATCATCCCCCTCAAAGATAGGAGGAGGACCATCCCCGTGAAACATCTTTCTCTAAACGGTTAAGTCTAAAAACGTGAGCACGAGGCTCTGATACCAATTGAAAGGATCAAGATGCCCAAGAGGGGGGTGAATTGGGCTAATTCTAAATTTCTTTGCAATAATTAAACCCAATGGTTAGCCCAATTAACCCCTTGTGCCTAGAAAGTGTTTCTATTGATCTACCACACAAAAGTTTAGCAACCTATGTTTCAATCCTACTCTAGCATGGCAATTCTATAAATGTAAATGACAAGAATTGAATTGCTCAAAGTAAATGCTCAAAGTAAAGAGAGAAAGAGGAACGCGGCGATGTTTTGCCGAGGTATCGGAGAGTCGTCACTCCCCACTAGTCCTCGTTGGAGCACCCGCGCAAGGGTGTAGCTCCCCCTTGATCCGCGCAAGGATCAAGTGCTCTCTACGGGTTGATTCTTCGACACTCCGTCACGGTGAATCACCCACAACCGCTCACAACTTGAGTTGGGTCATCCACAAGCTCCCAATCACCACCAAGTCGTCTAGGTGATGGCGATCACCAAGAGTAACAAGCATGAACTCTCACTTGACCACGACAAGCCTAATGAGAAGGGTGGATGCACACTTTGCTACTCTTGCTTTCACTAATGAGGGCTCTCTTTGGGATTCTCAAATCTCAATCACCTCACTAGGACCTTGCTCTTCTTGGCACTCTCAACGGTGTTTCTCAGTTGTTGGAATGAGCAAAAGTACCCCCTCACACGAATGGAGGAAGTATTTATACACCTGTATTCAAAACGAACCGTTATGTGCCTCTGCGAGGTGACTGGACGCTCCGGTCAAGTTGACCGGACGCTCCGGTCAGTTCTCCCTGAAATCTAGTGTTTAAGTTGTGACCGGACGTGTCCGGTCACGATTTTCCCTCTCTGGAACCTTACTGGAGTCGACCGGACGCTGGCACCCAGCGTCCGGTCGCTCACCTCTCAGCGTCCGGTCGCATCAGATAAAATCACCTTGATCAAATGAACTGACCGGACTCTGTGCCAACGTTCGGTCACTCTGGAACCAGCGTCCGGTCAGCATTTGACCCTCCATTCACTTCCAACTCTCAATCATTCATGAATGAAGCTTGCTCCAATGAATATAAGGGCTTTTTAGGAGCTACCTAGGGCTAGATTTAGCAAGTGTGCACCACACCTAACCCAATAGACTCACCTAGGTTAAACTACCCGTCCATACCCCTTTAATAGTACGGCCAAAGGAAAAACAAAGTCCTAAACTACTCTAAGTGTCTCTTCAACACCAAACGACACTTAGAACTAGTCCATCCTTAACCTTGTCGTCCATCCTTTGAAAACCGAAACGATTTCCATCGCATGGGCATGACCACCATGATTGCCTAATCGATCTCCATTACTATGACCTAACTTAATTGTATCTACAAAACACATTTTAGTCACAGTAATCACGTATTGTCATTAATCACCGAAACCCAACTAGGGGCTTAGATGCTTTCAGGCACGATGGAGGAGTTCGTGGTGGTCGCATGCGTGCAGCGGTGGGGGAAGGATCGCATACATGCGTGCGGCGGTAGAGAATGGAAATGTCGCTGGCCTTTTTTTCTTTTCGGAGAAACCGTGCCGAAGGTGGAGCGGAGCAAGCCTATTGAGCCCGATCGCTGCACAGGCCCAGGAACAAGACGTCCGGACGGATGCGCTTGGACGGACATCCTCACCAGGACATTATCGTTTTATTTTTGCAAAACATAGTAACAAAGGCAAATGAATACACATGCACCCATCCTATTTCCGGGAACATGACATGAGAGACTAGCGCGTAGGCTCTCCGGTTAGGAGTCAATTTCATGTCCTTTGAACGCAAGAAATCTCTGCAAACACGAGAGGCTCTCCAGTTGAGTCAATTCCATGCCCCTCTTTGGAATTTCACAAGAACCTTATAAAAATTTCATAAAAATCAGTTCATTTTCACATAAAAAAACATAGAAAACGGAAAATTTTCCCTCAATCCAAAGGGGGCTCACTATCTCTGCGAACACGAGACTAGCAGCACCTACGCTCTCCGGTTAGCAGTCAATTTGAACCAGCACGGTGAGAAAATGTGACACAGAAATATACAATGGCATTGCTGAGTTTCAATCTATAATTAGTATTTAGTGCTTTTTGTAAATGCTTTGAGCAATGATGAGTGCATACATCAGACACTTTACTTCTTGGATCCACGTGAACAAAAATACTTATATGACTTCGGCATATACACACAGTATTGCGGAGATAACATACACAACGATAATAATGCTCATGTAGTCATGTTGCTAATACAATTACTGTAATCATAACTTAATGACATACATTATGAGCCAGAAACAATTTTGGTGGTCCCTTTAGTTGTACTCCATCCGTTCTAAATTATAAGACGTTTTACTTTTTCTATATATATTGCTTTCACTATGCATCTTGACATAGTGTATATCTAAGTACGTAGCAAAAGTAATGAATCTAGAAAAGCCAAAACGTCAAAATAATTTGGAACAGATTGAGTACTTGAGAAACTCTTGGATCTCTACAGAAAACGTGCTTGCGGCATATGTATGTGCCACATTCCATCTAGTGGCAGTCTCTAGTTCTAATGGACAAACTGCTCGGTTTTCCGTCGAAGAATGGAGAAATCCTTTGATGCAGATAATTAAGCCTTCTATGGTGGTGCAAAATTGCATTGACGAATATATGAGTCATCATAGTCCACATACTTTGTCCAAAGGTGCCTGAACTGATTCATACCGATGTCAAGCCAGGGCTTCATGTTGCCGTTGAAATGCACAACAGCAGCATTTCTAATCTCCTCCATGCTGATGCTTGGATTGTATCCAAGTCCAAGAACATGCCAAGATTTCTCCAGAGGTTTTGTGGTGGAGTAGAAAGTGATTAAGCCTGGGGGTAGCGTTCCAAGCTTCCATAATGTCCGGTTCTCATTCTGAAAATGATTAGTCATCAACCATAGTAAATAGTAGAAAAGGAGTATTGGCTAAAATTCATTAAGTCACTGTGTGTGTGTGTGTGTGTGGGGGGGGGTTGGGGGGGGGGGTATGCTTCAGTAGTTTAACTTGCTATTGCACTAGACAATAACCACTGACCTCAACTCTATGATGAGCCATGCATTAACTAAACAAGATCAACAGCTTGACAATTTAAATAGTCCTATACTACACATTAATTTATCAAACCAACACCTTGCCTATCATTTATCAGCTAAGAATATAAATTCTAAAATTTCGAGGAAGAGAAACTATAATGGTTACCTGATTCTGCCAATAATGGTACTGCTCAGTACACTTCTCCCTCCTCCAAGAATCAAGATCAAAGAAATTCATTCCATATGCCCATCCACAGGCATTAGGATTAAACTTTGCTTTGATAAGGGGGTGTGAGAAGTTCATATACTGTGCATATCGATGAAAAGATCCAAAGCATGTTTCTACTGCCCCATTCACCTTCCCATCCATGTCAATCTTCCAGAGTCCTGTAAGATCCCTCTGTACCACAACATCATCATCCAGGAAAAGAATGCGGTGTAGCTTTGGGTACATCTCCGGCAAATAGAATCGCAAGTGATTAAGCATAGACAGATATTTGGGATTCCTAAACTTCATATTGCTAGCATCTTTGGTGGCATTCTCAAGCTTGTTCTCAAAATAGAATTTCTGGAGGTTTGCTGACTCCAGTTGCCGGAGCACAGGAACATATGAGGAGTTGAGGAATTTGTAATCCTCAAATGCTTTGACCTCATAGTGTGCACCTTTTAAGTCCATTCGACATATTATCACCTGCAAAGGGATGACATATAAACTCTTAAATTCACTTGCAACAGAAACTATTAATGCAATGGCGATGTGAATCAAATTCACTTTGGAAAAGAAAGTACTTGAACAAATTGGAGCCTATTAATGCAATGACAATGTGAATCAAATTCACTTTGGTAAAGAAAGTTCTTAGACAAATTGGAGCCAGTATATTTCGGTGATTAGCACAATAGTATTCAAATGGGGTTAAAAAGAAAACCTTGAAGGGGCAAAAATTCATCAGTACTCAAACAGGCAGTTGCCATCAGCAGTTCTGATCTGTCCCGACAAGATATTTACCAAAATCTCTTGTTTTACAAGATTTGGTGATCTAGGACTTCTTTAGGGCTATGTGGCTGGTTTTGCTTGTGCACTGCAACTCACAGTATCTTTTGGGTAGCAACTTAGGCCTTGTTTAGTTGGCGAAATTTTTTAGAAAATGGTACTGTAGCACTTTCGTTGTTATTTGGCAATTAGTGTCCAATCATAGTCTAATTAGGCTTAAATGATTCGTCTCGTGAATTTCATCTAAACTGTGTAATTAGTTTTATTTTTTATTTATATTTAATGCTTCATGCATGCGTCCAAATATTCGATGTGACGGGAAATCTTGAAAAAATTTGCAAAATTTTGAGAACTAAGCAGGCACTTAGAACTCAGCTTACACTGTGTAGATATGCTAGTAACTGACAACATATAGAATCCAATGCCAAGGGCATGCCAGATTCCTTCCGAATGCAAAACAGAGAAGATACGGCATCACATCTAGAAGTCGGAAACTCCGAATAGTCAGTCTGCAATATCACTAAGGCATTATTTAAATCCAGTGCGTAAAGTTTTGAAGTGTCAGGATGTCACATGGGGTGTCGCATGGGGTGTTCATTTATTAAGCCTAAATAATCCGTCATTAGCACATGTGTGACTATAGTACCACATTATCAAATCATGGACTAATTAGGCTTAAAAATTCGTCTAGCAAATTAGTCGCAAACTGTGCAATTAGTTTTTTTTTCTATATTTAAGGCCTTGTTTAGTTCCTCCGCCTAAAGTTTACTCCATATCCCATCGAATATTTGAATTCATGCATGGAGTATTAAATATAGACTAAAAAATAACTGATTCCACAGTTTACAACTAATTTGCGCTACCGAGAAAACGAGTTGGGAACAAGATACTGTGCAAAATGGGTAATAGCACAAGATGATGAAGAGACAGAATGCAGCAAACCTGCATGGCGCCGAGATTCATCCGGTCGGTGACAACATGGAAGACATGCTTAGAGGGATCGTTGGAGTTGGCTACGGCGGAGCGCACGACGCATGAGGCCGCGAGCACGTTGTCGGAGAAGATCGCATAGTGGAAGAGCGCGGGGTCCTCGAGCGCCGGCGGCGGCGGCACCGGGTCCGCGTAGTGGTCGGGCCTGGCGATCCGCTCGGCGGTGAGGCGGACGGCGAGGCAGTGGAGCGGCTTGGGGATGGACTTGGCGGCGATGAGGGAGGCGAAGGCGCCGCGCTTCTTGGCGCGCGCGAGCAGCTCGTTCTGCGCGAAGATGGTGTCCTTGAGGCGCTGGATCTTGAGCTGCGGGTCGAAGAGCGGCTTGGAGTCGGCGATGGCGGCGCGCGCGGCGCGGATGAGGTCCTTGGCCTGGAGGTCGAGCTGGCGGGAGGACGAAACGTTGGCGGAGGCGGAGGCGGCGCCGGCGCCGGAGGTAGGGTCCGAGGCGGAGGCGGAGTCGGCGGCTATGGAGAGCGCGCGGAGCGTGTTGGTGAGGTTGCGGTGGAGCGAGGAGAGCAGGCGGAGGTGCTGCGCGCGGTAGAGGTGGAGGCGGCGCGACGCCGCGGCGAACGCGGCGGCGGATGCGGCTGCGTCCGAGGCCTGCTTCCGGATCTGCTCCGCCCGGAGGCGGTCCCCGTTCACGGCCGCGGGCGCCGCGGCGGCGGCGGCGAGGAGGAAGAGGAGGAGAACAAGGACGGCGAGATGCCGCCCGGGGTTCCCGGCACCGGCTACCATGGCTTCAGAGCTCGCACGCCCCCCGGAGCCTCTCGCATTTCAGGATGGAGAGGGAGGGGGTGTTGGGTCCGGGGTGTTGAGGGAGCAGACGAGGAGTGGTGGTGTGCTGTGCAGCGGTGGTGGCCTGGTGGGGCTTTGGGGAAGTAGAAGAGGACAGGCAGGGGCAATGGGGATTAGTGTTTGGGGGAAAGCAGCAGGCGGGTCATAATAACCACGCCTATTAATGGCGTGGACTGGGCCTTCGCCGCGTCGCCGACACCTTCGGTATGATCTCACTGGCTGGTGGGGCGCAAGACGCCGAGTCCCGCATGTCAGCGGAGGTAGGAGCTGGGAATCCGGTCGTGGGGCGGGGGTCGTGGCCGCATACCAGATTTGACGTGGACCGGGGTCGTACCGGTGGCCCCACGAGCCAGCGGTTCAAGGTCCGGGTGTTGTTGGTTTCGGCGGTGAGCCACCAGGAGCAGGCCCGACGGGAATGTCGATTAGCCGAACCCATCATGCCTGATGCTGGCCGCTGGCCGCTGGCGGTGGTGCGCGGTGGCCGGAATTCTGGTATTGGGAGGACGGATCCGGATCGGATCTTGGCCCCGTTTCGTTTGACAACGGTACCTTTTTCATAAAAATAATAATATTTTTTCTCGATAACAAATCAAAATCAAGCATCGAGCCGTTTTTTTAAGCAAGTCGAATAAGACCTCCTCACCACTCCAACCAACCGATTAGTGCGAGCATGCTGCTGGATTCGCCTCCCCAGACAGACTAGACGCATGACAGCGCCACTCAAGCTGAACTTTGCCCACTTTGAGCATATTTCTTGGTTGATTTCTGGGTTAATAAGCTCTAGATTAGTGCTGGTTTATTGTGAGAAAAAAAAATTATATCATAGCTGATAAGCACTGGCTAAAACCAACGTGCGAACATGTTGTTTGTCAACCCCATGCAATGTTGACCTGGGCACATACAGAGCCAAGCTTTGAGCACATTGCACATATTCTTTTTAGCCGGCTCCAACTCGATCCATTTCCATCACAAATTGATGCATACATAGCTAACTTTGGTCATATTTAACAACACTATGTTGAATATATGTTCATATCAGAAACAAAAAGATTATGTTTCATGGGTATGTTATATTTTGTAACAAGAGTTGACAACAGCATTGCATAGGATGGTATTTTTTGTACCACAATTATTCATCTTCGTTAAACCGTTCAAAAATTCAAATTATTGCATCCTAGCCATTTGTATTGTTCTGTGTACCTTTTGTTTTATTTCGGCAAGTGTTTTTTTATATTTTTTTGGTTCTCGTAGTAGATAGATGAACCCATCCAAAAGGTTTACTACGTTGTAATGCACTTCCCACTCCTAAAATGTAGGTTTTGCATGGTGAGACAAGGGCTCGTTGATATCACTTCAAGTGCAAAGAGATATTCATCCCTTCTAAATTGTAAGTTGTTTTAATTTTATAGATATATAATTTTTGCTATGTACTTCCTCTGTTCAAAATTATAAGTCGCTTTGACTTTTTTTCACTCATTTTGCTATGTATCTAAACATATTATTATATCTAAATGCATAAAAAAAATGAATGTACCAAAAAAGTCAAAGCGACTTATAAGTTGAAACGAGGGAGTATCTAAATATACGTTGTATCTTAATACTAAAAACTATATATCTAGAAATGTTAGAATGATTTATAATTTAAAATGGAAGGATAAATAATAAATTTTCCATCTACCACTACCTATATGATAAAGACATATATATATATATATATATACTATTTAGCTACAAACAAATTGGGATTCCTTTATTCCCTAAAGAAATTTTGTCCTTTTCCCCTTTATCTTTAGAGGAGGTGGATGCTTTCCTATTAGTGTCACTCACACCAATGATTTCAACAAAATTAAGGTAAAAAAGGGTATATCTAGAAATGAGAATGACGCCAATTTTCGTGTTAACACAATTCACAAGGGCGGTGACATATGTGTCTATCTGCATTGATCCTCCCATCACTATTTCTACTCCCTCTTTCTCAAAAAGAATTCATTCTTCCACAAATCAAAGAAACTCAAATTTGACCAAACATATATAGAAAATTACTAGTATTTATGATGTGTAATGAATATAGTTAGATACACCATGAAATAAATATTCATGACAAACTTATTTGGAGATACAAATGTTTATAATATTTGATATAAATATAATCAAAGTTTGGAAATTTTGACCGAGTTCAAACCCAGTATGACATTTTTTTGGAAAGGGAAGGATGGAATATATTTATTTACATAACTTTTTTTTTAGCAAGAGGAGTATGTACATAACTGATCCGCTTGGGACAAGCAAATCATATTGTTAACTTGAGCCCAGCCCAAGAAACAGGCGACCACGTTGGGACAAGTAGTAGTAGTATGAGGTAGGCCCGTCTTAACTAGGTTGACTTAGTCTAAGCCCAGCCCAATCTTCAAAGCCCGCTTCTTCTTCTACTTAGCTAAGCCACTGGCCCACTGCTCCTTGTTATACCAGTATAAAAAAAGTCAAATAGGAGATATTTATATATTTTAATTGTGGATTATTGCCCAGAAAAAAAATGAAGCGACACACACAAGACATGTCCGTCATGGCGTTTAATTGTGGAGGAGGCACGTCGTCCCTTGCTGCTGAAAGCGAACACGGGGAGCGGACGATGGCGTTGCTGTCGGCGGCGTCTCTTCGTTTTGGGACGTCGCAAACGGAAGCGTCCGGCCACCGCGCCATCGAACTATCACCTCAATGACCATTTTGCCCCTCCGCACGTGTTACTAGCTTCGCTTTTGCCCGCTGCTTCTATTCCCTCGCGGCACTAGTCTCGAGTTATGTACACACGTGTGCGTGTCGGTGTATGAGTGCTGTGCATATTTGGGTACTCCGTCACTATGCAACCTGTACAGACTCCCCCGTTCCATAGAGAATATGTGGTTTTACGTTCGGTACTGATCAATTTTTTTAACTATAACTAAATTTATAAAAAAATATTAGTAAAATTATACTTTCAAATAAGCTTATTAAGAAAATATTCTCAACGATTCGTCTAATGATACTAATTATACTAACAATTTTTATATATTAACAAAATGAAAAATGATTGACTTCTCATAAGACGAGATGGACACTCTTTTTGCGACGGAGGGAGTACGTGAAAACTAGAAAGTGGGTCCCGTTGCTAAGAAGGTCTAGATCTCAACATTAGTACTTATTACAAACTAGCATTATAAGAACCAAACAAATGGAATCACTCGCAAACCAAAACCTTTTATTAGATTTAATTGAACTTTTTTTTAATTTAATTTAATTAAATAAATCTTAAGCCCCATATTACATGTTAGGCGCATTAAAATCTGTCTTATTTAAGATTTTCATCAAATGTTGACTCAACTCAAATAGGCGGCTTGTGTGCACCTATTGTAAAGTTGAGAGATGCGAAGGACATGTCACACATGCTGTAACTAGAGGAGGTGAATAGTCATTTCTAATACTAATTTAGCGTTTACACACCGTTAAACGCTACACTTGGTACACCGCTTCGGTGTAACCGTTTCGTTTAATCGGTTGTTTTGACCGTTTAAACGGTCATTTTCCCGTTTAAACACCCGTTTTGCCCGAATAATGGGCTAAACGATAGGTGACCGACCGTTTACCGTTTAGCGTTTAGGATAACACTGACCGAAACACATACGAAATTAAACTAATCGGTCTAGTCAAGACTACACCCTCTATCTATGTCATAAGCATCTTATAAGAGATCATAATCCAAGCATTTAAGGTGTCGAGCTAGTAGGAGCTCACATAAACAATTATAGTTAGCAATATCACACAAATCTATGTAACTAGTCAACTAAGCACAAGCAAACTCCTACACATACCAGTAGCAACGCGCACAAAAGCACAAGCACTACTAGATATATATATAGTACTACTCAACTAGTTACACTAGCACTACTCAATTAAGGCCGAGATTTTTGGCGAAACCGAAAAATTCCGTCCAGATAAATTAATTTAGCCTGAGCACCTTTGCTTGAGAATTGGTCCAAAATTACCAAGCCAATCACCAAGAACTCGGAATTCCTGGCCTTTTGGAAATTCCAGCAGTGTGAAAAAAAATGCACTCTAAAGTCAAACTAGATGATGCTCCTATGGTGTATATGTTTTTTCTTAAATGATCTTGAGCACATAGACAACCACAAGACACCTGGAATTGATTTCCTTGACAATATATATGACATTTCTATATACTCAAGATTAAAAATACAAAAAACTCAAAATATCAATCTTCGTCTATCATCATAGAATTGTCGCAACATCCTTGATTTTAAGAATCGTGAGGAGGATGACTGGGTGAGGGGGTCTCCATTCGTCACTTTCACATTTCATATTGCTCATTTGCTTCAATGCTTCATAAATCCAATTGGTTTCTCTATTTGCATTGTCATTAATTCACAAAAAAAACATAATATGTGTGGATGCACTTTCAGCTATATAACTTCACCCCTAGGTGCGTTGGGGGTTAGGATTTGAGTTGGGAAAATGTTATAGTCCAATTCTAGAGGATGGGATTAGAAGAAATGGCCAAGAGGGAGGGTATTGCTAATCCTAGTGGTGGTGGACTGGTAGTGTAGTGGGTTGAGGCGGCACTGAAGCTTTGGAAGGGCGAGGACCGAGGATGCCAAAGAAGTTGGAAAAGAGATTAATAGTGAATCGAGTTCGTTGTGGGCTGTTGGTGGTGGTTACCGGTGAGAATAAAACAAGCAGTTCACCACGACATAAATATGGCAATGCCATTGGCTGTTGGGGGTGGGGTGGGGTGGTAGACGTGGGCTACCAATAGGAGCATGATGGTTGGGTGTGATTGTTGTTGAATGTTGTCGTCACGTGGAAGAAGGAAAATGAAGAAGAGGGAACATTAAAAGAGGGCGGTTTTATTCATTCCTCTGTTACGGAGTGTTTTCATCTCCATTGGTGTATTATATGTAAGTATAATTGGCAATATTAGACTTTTCTTTCGGTACTCGACTCGGCTCTATAGCCTTATATTAACAGACTCAAGCTCAACGTAACTGCGAGCAACCAAACCAATTACAAATTCAGGTAGGGGGTCTGTCCAGACATAGGGACCTAGGTCTCAACTCATCCATCTCATTCGCAAGCTCGTGCGCAGACGAGTTACAACATCTCGGGATTTTACAAATTTTGAGGCAAATAAAATGATCAAGAAGAGTATGGTGATTTCCGAAGAGACTCCCACCAAGCGCTAAATCCATTGCAGGTGTTGTCAAACTTTCCTTCAACTGGCACGAGTCAGTCTAGCTCGACCAGAGAAATGCCAAAGTATTTAGCTGCCTTCGACGCCTGCTTACATGCCATCGCTTATGCCATAAGCGCGTCGTGGGTCGTGTCTAGGCGTCTGGCACCGGTTACGGTCGGTTGACCCAAGCTATGATGGGAAATTTGACTTTCACACACAATAAATCTACTTATTCATTGAAACCACTAACCGTTCCTGCCAGGAATGCTTGTGTAGTTTATATAGCCAGCTCTCACAACTCGCAAAACGAGACCTAAATTGAGGTGTTTTCTACGTGAGTTACGCCTAAATTTTGGTACTCTCCGTAGGCCGATTGGCAACATGTGCAGTTTTCACGAGAGGACACCCCCAGTTTAATATTTACCTAGAGATCCCTATTAGTATCAGCGTGTCCCTTGACCTTGAAAAGTCCGCGGGCGTACCGAACGAGTCCTCCCCTGGCGCAGGGGCAAACCCGTCCATCCATCCTCACCACCAGCAGCCGGCAGCCAACGCGAGACGAGGCCGCCCCTCTACGGCGAGACGTCACCGATGCCCTTCACAAAAAATAAAAAACAATAAAATAAATAAAAAAAGGGAACGGATGGAAGGAAATCTCCAATTAACGGGAGGAGATGTAGGGAGAGAAACCACCACCCGAGCAGAGCAGGTGTGGCCGTGTGGGGGAGGCGGCCGTAGATAAGAGTCGTCTCGCCTCGTCGTCGCAACCTCGCAGGAGAGGAGAGAGGAAGGGAGGAGGGGGGGCTAGAGAGAGAAACAAAGGTGGTGGTAGTAGATGTGAGCCACCCTCTTTGTATCCCTCGCCAACTTGTTCTCCTACCAACTTCTTCTCGTCCCCCCACACCCCCCTCCTTACCGTCTCGCGCCCGCTCCGCAGCCTCGCTCCACCCGCCGCCGCTGGCACCGCCGGTACGTACCCTCACGCCCGTCTCGTTACGCCTCTGCGTGTCTGTTGGACGTCGCGCCGCATTTACGGCCGATTCGCCGCCGGCCAGCGCGCGCGTGTCGTCGTCGTCGTCGTCGTCGTTCCTGAATTCCGGTTGGCCGGCCGGCGCTGTGGTTGACCGCCGCCGCCGCCGGCGCTTCCGCCGTTCCTGAATTCCGCGTCGGTCTTTGCCGCGCCGGCGGGTGCTTACGCTGCGTCCTGTGTCTTGTGTTGTCGTGGCGGCCGGCCGATTGATTGGAAGGAAGGTGGCGGTGGTTGGGGACGGGCTTGCGCCGGAATTCTCGCGTTCCGGGGGGTTTCTTTGGATTCCTCGGTTGGTTTGCGGGGGTTGCCTGCCAGGGTTGGGTGGCTGATGAGGAGGTGGTTGGGCCAGACGTCTCGCCACCCACCCTGTTTCTGTTCGTGATCGATTTTCATGTTTTTTTTTCTCGTTATTAGGTCGATGATGGTAGGCGTAATAATCATATGACATAGCGGTTGTTGTGGTGAGAATTACGCCTAAAAATGAGTCTTTGAGGGGGCAAGCCTTGATTCTTGTACTTCTTGGTTTTAATGCCTGCCGATTGTAGATCGTGCAATTCTCTGTAGCCGTATGAGCGTTTAGAAACTCATTGCAGGACGAGGTGATATGCGCTGACCTTTTTTTTTTTTACAAAAATTTACGCTTCAAAGAGAAGCTCCTGTCTGCAGTACTGAACTCTCTGATGTATAGCAAGATTCTGTAGGCCCTGGAGTGTGCCTGCTCATTTGTGCTAACTGGCAGTGGTGACAAGTACACTGACATAATTCTTGCTTCTATTTTTAGGGGGGTTATTTATTCATTGGACTTTACTGCATTTAGGTTCTCTCCCATTGAGTTTTGCTTAATCGGACTAGTACCCCCATGTGGTAGGAACGGGACTCTTTTCACAAATGAGGTGCAGTAGGATGGCATTTTGAAAAATTGGTCTGTTGTCACCAATACTGGTCATCTGTTGCCGTTCTGGGCCTGCATTATATGTGAAGTTCCTTCCAGATTGTCAAAATGGAAGTGTTGGGGTTTGTGACTGTGGATGCGTGTTGGTTACTGTGTCTATATAGTCTTTTCATGCTCAGGGGTTGCAGATAATCCATTTGACTCAATTGGACTATATGCCTCCTATATCAATACTATGAATTTTAGGATTAGGGCATGAAGATCCGCTTATTTAGCTGTCAGCACCTTATGATATTTGAGTTACTATGGAGTGAACTCATTTTTCAAGGTGATTCAAAGATCAGTTGAGATGGTAGAACACTCGTCGCATGAGTTGTGGGATACATTGAACTGGATGAATGAGTTGGAACTTTATCTGTGTTTGTTATCCTGTGCAAATAGAAAATAGCTTCATCTTCTTTTTTGTGATTATATCCTGTGTCTTTTATGTAAGACCTTATTTTTGTCAAAAAAAAAAGGTGTTTTTGTTTGAAGATTTGATGTAGTCTCTCCTTTGTAGCCACACAATTTAAGAAGCTGATAGGTAGGTATAGACTTTCACCCTATTCTGGCATGTATATTGCATTTGTGTCCACTATCCTTGCATGCTCATTTTAATGGAAATTCGGTTGTACTGTACAGTGCATGTAGCGATTAAGCATGTCTATATCAGCAGTCCTATTTGTGCTCTCTGCACTGATGTGGCAAGACATCATTGTTTCGCATCTTTGAACAATGTGGGTGATATAAAACACGAGTGCTGTTAGTGTGTGTTCTAGCCTACATGATGGTTAGTGCCATCGTAAACATGGATTTTTTTTCTTGTTCTTATTTTAGTCTCGAATTTAGCAGTTGTTTATTATCTCTTCATATTTTTTACTCTGCTGCAGGTGGCATTTCAAGTATGGTTAGCTTGAGGCGGCGTCGACTATTGGGTCTTTGTTCTGGTAAGAGGAAACTCATTTAGTGCCTTGAAATATCTTGCCAAGATGTAAAAATTGCTCAGAGGATTTATGTTATGAAATGAAAAGAACTTCTTTTTTTTTCTGTATATGAAGTAGCATAGCACATCTGTCATTATACTTGATCATTTCGATTATGAAAAAATGAATCTTGTTGCATGTTTTCCTGTTTTTAAGAGTTGTTTTTCATGCTTAGTCTAATTTTTGTTAAAAGATTCAATACTCCCCATTCCCACATACATGTTAGTGCTTAGTTGAATTAAGTAGTTTTTTTAATGTTATATTAGAACCCCAGGTCTTGGGTATGAATCATTGTGGGAGTTAATTTCAGGCTGGGTAAAAAAGGTCAGTCGCTAGTTCCCCTGGTCTAGGGATGTGACCCTGATCGCCCTCCCTGGGAGGCTCTGATCATAACAACTCAGTTCTTGCTTGATCCCTAAGCCCATGCAGGTTACAAGTAAATAGCCATCGAGGCTAATCCACTCCCTACAATCACTCCCATCTTTCCTATTATTCCTCCTAGCCAATTGACTGAACTGCATGCAACAAACTATCCAAATTAGCACCACTCAAGCCGCCTGCTAACCACTTTAAGTTGTGGACTTGGTCTTCTTGCGGCCTGTGTAAGATTTCCCAACAAAAACGTCCACAACACAGGTTAAGGCCTGAACCATAGGGGGCGGCATCTCCATGTATGAGGGGATCCAGCTTTCGCGACCTTTCTCGGCCGGGCTCTGGTTGAGCTCTTCTTAGTGAAATACCGTGGGTGCGGTCTTTCCCCACTGGCTGAGTTCTTTCTTAATGTTATATTAGGAATGAGGGCCATGGGAAATTAGGAGGGCAGGTTTTCCAAGTGGGAAGTTTGGTTGTAAATTAATTGCTGCCTGTACCAGAATTTGTACTTTAGTCACGCTTTTGAGAATTCCTCTTAGGGTTATGTCATATATCTGTTCTTTTGAGTTTCAGAACTGTTTTCTACCAGATAAGAAATAAATAACTTTTCTTTACAATTATGTGAACATTGTTCCTTTTAAGAATGGCCATATTAATTGTCCTGATATTCCAGCTATACTTTTTATATGGTCAAGCAGCAATTAGCTCTAATTGAAGTTTTTTTTCCAAAAGATATGTTTGAACTTTCATGTGTGGATAGAAGTATACAACAGCCTGCTATATGAATGAATGTATAAAAAAAGACAAACCCCGTGCAGAATCCTTAATGTACATGGAAATAAATACATGTGTGTTAATAAGTTACTGATGGAAGCTACATGGTTTTTACTATTTTAGGCCTTGTTTGGATGCATATTTATCCACATCAATCCACGTGTGTTGAGGTGGATTAGAGTGGAAATTAGTTTAAGTTCCACTCCAATCCACTTCAACACATGTGGGTTGAGGTGGATACATATGCATCCAAACAAGGCCTTACTTGGTTCAATCACTAACCAACTAGCAGCCCAAAAGTATGTTGGAAAATCATAAATTTCAGGTGCTTGACTGTGTCAGTATTCTTTTTCTCTACAATTAGAACCTAAAGAAGATAGAATATTTGAAGGAACAAAAGTATAAAGCCTTATCTGAATATTTTAAGTGAACAAAAGTATAAAGCCTTATCTGGGATCATCTCCGTATCTATACCAACAAAGAGGTTGGCTATATGTTTTGAGTACTCACATGAGTTTAGCTTTTGTTTCAGGGAAAGACTCATTGCCAGTTGATCTTCCTAAGCCCATTGAAAATGAAAAAACTGTGGAAGTTGCACACTCCAATGTGAAGCCATTCAGTGTGCATCCACTGCCCTTGGTATGCATAATTACTTTTTGTATGTTGAGGAAGTATCTTGCGCAGGAGTATATTGGTGCACATTTGCACACACTCAATTTTTTTTTTCTAGATAACGGAATAAAAAAATATCCCAGTTTGTGTCGATGTTACCTGCTTGTGCTGTATCCTTTTCTCCTTAAGATAGCCTGATGAGTTTTGTAGTGACATTTGTGTAGTACCTGCATTCTGCTTCAAGCTTTACTGAAAATTTGTTGACTACAATGGCAAGTATGATTTTTCTTAACAAAATTTGCCTTTTTGTCACAGGCAAAGACTTCTGATGTGCTCACAAAATCCTCAAATGGTTCTGATGATTCAAAGGAAGAGAAAACCCAGTACTATCCAGGTCTATACTTCATTCTTATTCTGTATTATTAGCATTTGTTCTTCACTTAAAGTCCAGATTACTTGTAGTTATGGTACTTAAAGTTGATATTCTAGAATTCTGTATTGGAAATCTCAGAGAACTTGTGCTTTCTTCATCTCACATTCTGAAGTGTCCTTAAAGAATATAATTTGCAATAGGAAATGTTTGTGTGACAATTTTTTCTTATATAGCTGTGCTGGGAATGTTTAGTTAGGGCCTGTAGCTTTTCCCTAAAGAACTCCCTGTACCTTTTCTTTTGTGTGTCTTTCCTTAATCCTCTTGAGTTGAACTTTACAGTTTACTCCACAGCTGATAAGAAAATTGCATTTTTTTCCTTATCACTTCAGGCAAGGAAATCAAGCGCAGAAAACGACATAGAAGAAAGCAGTACGTGGATCAAGAGCCATGCATTATGAGGGGGGTTTATTTCAAAAATATGAAATGGCAGGCTGCCATAAAAGTTGACAAGAAACAGATTCACTTGGGTACTGTTGGGACACAGGACGAAGCAGCCCGGCTTTATGATAGGTATTAGCTTGACTATGACTGCACACCTCTGTTTGACCACAAAATTTCCACCATTCTTACCTAACTTTTTACCTTTTCCCAACACAAGCTAATGCTCATAGCATCTTGATGCAATCTGATTTACCCAGATGGTGTTCAAAGTAATAAGTTAGCCAGCTGGCATAGTATGTTTTGACTAGCTAAATAAGATCATATAATGCTGTTCTGTGTTAATTCTCATTAATATCCAACTGTATATCCTTCTGTTGTTCAATCTGAACTCCAGTTAGTTCATTTTTTATGAGTTATGACATGCAGATATTACCTATATGCATGCATTAACTATAGTTCAAATCTGCACACCTTTAAACACAAGTGTTTGCACTATGTTTTCACCTTTTCCTGCTTTGTACTCTTTTCGGCAACACAAGAAGCTATATTAGTCATTGTGGCTGCGTGTTTGAGAAAAAAAAAGAAAGAAAGAAACATGTATGCATAAAATCTATCTATTTCATCTGTAAAGTTAGCTCTCCGTATTCCCCAGGTAAAACATATATGCTCCAACATGTCACAGAGTTTACTGTTCAGTGGTTTGGCTTCTCACCAAGCCTACCAATTCTGATTGCGCCATACAGATTTGTTTATTTATCATTCTTTGTTAGGCTCTCTCATTGCCTGATTTCTGAAGTAAATGTTGCCTCTATTATTGTTTACTTGTTTTGATTCTTAATTTAATTTGGTTTAAGGGATACGAGCAATATGCCGATATGTGACATTGATTGTATCTCTGTCAAGATCAAATGATGTTGCTTTGATACGATGAGGATGCATGATTTGTTGCATAACTAATGATTCACCATGAATCACCAGATTTGAACAAGTTGAATTTTGCGCAGGGCTGCTTTTATGTGTGGAAGGGAGCCAAACTTTGAGCTTTCTGAGGAAGAGAAGCAGGAACTACGGAAGTACACCTGGGAGGGCTTCTTAGCAGTGACTCGCAACACGATAACCAGCAAAAGTAAGACCCAAAAATTGCTACATTTTAATGTTTGCGGCTTAAACATTGCTAACTGTTTGTGGCTTAAACGTTGCTCATAACATATGCTCATTTCTTTTGCTCTAGAACAAAGGAAAGTTGGGTCGCTAAGGCGTAGCAAGGCAGACCTGTTCATGGGTCAGAGTGATGGCGATACTGAGATGGCCAATGGAGGCGGTTCATCGAATTCTGATAATGGAGACGCAGAGACGTCAGCATCTTAGATTGCTCCCAGGGGTTTTGCCGTTGTGGCAACTCAAGTAGAGTCCTCCAACATATTCATTCCGATCGTCATATGAGCTCCGTTTAGGATTTTGTTCTCTCATCAATAATTAATTTTCATGTGCATAAGGCCCCCGTTGGTCTAAATCAAAGGTTAGGGAAAACCATGCCATCTCAAACAAGAATTGGAGGTGGTCCATTGTAGAGACAATTCATCTGAACAGTGTCATGTATACCGGTTCTGAAATTGTGTATATCTACCGATAGGTTCACCTTACATTTTACCCAATGTAATTAGTTTACCTTATCATTTACCCAAAAGAAATATTTTTACTTTCTGGTAATACCATCCATACGTCATTTCTGTACCAGTGGAAATCTCCTATATGTCTTAGATGAGTTTACTACCGACCATACTTGAAACTTGGAGATTCGTCTCCTCGGTTTATAAGTTTGGAATTGATGCTGTATCTTTTGGGTATATTGACCCAACTTGAGTTCTACCTGAAGTTGGAACGAAGAAACGCACAATAAAAGGTCATGCAGTGTGCGAGTGGGGCACACAATTTTTCTTGCATATAATTCAGTTAACTACACAATCCATCCACACGAGGTGTGAGTCTGTCGTGCGAAGAGGTGCGCACTCCGATGATGACGATTGACGAAGGAGGCTATAGCCAACCACACATGTTGCATCTTGCGGATGCTGGTTCAGACATTGTCACCTGGTTTGGTCATAACTGTAGGTGAGCAGCACATGTACAATACTAGTGCGATTGAACTTTATTTGTGCATCATAAACTATCATGATTCATGCAACTAAGCTCATACTAGATAATTGCACAAACGTCGCCTATATATGTTCATTAGGAAGCACTTTTTTTAGCTAACACATGCCTATATATGTATGTATAATTATATCTTTCTTTTAGTTTGATAACATCCTCATTTCTATGGCACTGCTTGTATGTTTTGGATGCCATACACGCCATCGCCTGAGCAAAAATATAGGCTCCGTCCTATACGCGGATCAATCAGTTTTTTTTTTTTTTTGAAACGAGATCAATCAGTTTCTACTATATAGTATTGCAAAATCAATGATGGATGATGATGAAGAAATCAAGTAAGCCCACGCAGCAATGTTTAAGTGGCCAAGATTTTGTTTTGTGCTGCGAATTGCTTAGGCCCACGCAGTAAACTAATTAAGTAAGCCCACGCAGGAATTGCTAGCAAAACAAGCCTAGCCTGCCCGAGAACTGCCAAAAGAAAAGTTCCAAATGCAACGCCTAAAGACCTTCCAGGGCCGGGCTTAACTAATCTGTTTTTAGGGCCGGGCCTAAGGTAACACGTGGTGGGCCAAAACTAATGCAACCAGGCATAACTTGAGCCGGGCCCAACTACCCATAGGTCCTGTTTGGAACGGCCAAAACTAATGCAACCAGGCATAACTTGAGCCGGGCCCAACTACCCATAGGTCCTGTTTGGAACGCTAGATGCTTTTTATTTATTTATTTATGTGAAATAAAAAATCTCTCTAATTCCTGTGAATTTCTACATCCAAAGCGAACCCTTAAATTATACTAACACCTGTAGTTACAATTAGCAAGTTACTGAATCAAATTTGCTAGCCAAAATCACATCAAGCTATGGTAGGGCTCCTCTCTTGCTTCTGCGGAGGAGTCCTACCAAACAGTTTAGTAGGACGAGCCGTATTTATAGAAAAAAGAGAAATCTTTAAAGAGAAGCCGTACCAAATAAGGCATATTTGTTTTGTCTGGCTGTTAATGCTGAGATCCTAAAGATTGGCAAGCTAAGCTAAGGTATGTTTGTGATAGAATTGCTTATCTGTGATTGAAAAAAGATGCGATTGATGACAGACGTTTCTATTCCCAAAGGGTTGTCTGTATCAGCCATAGGATAATGTTTTTCTCACAACAAATTAGCTTCAGCCGGCTTATGAGCCGCAGAAACTATCAGCCTAACAACCTCTTTCTTGATCTGGCAGCACTGTTTTACAAGACAATGTGGTAAGTGCCTTTTTTTTTGTTTATCATCAACAACTTCGGCTGCAACAGATTGTTCAAAGGCTACCTATACTTTAGCTCGAGTGATGCAATCTCTTGTACTCAATGCGTACTTAACTACAGTTGGATTGTTCTCTGTAGTCTGTGGAGCAAAATCTGTCTATCTCAATGAAAGTGCTCAAAACAGGGCAGATTCTGATAGCCCTGTTTCAAGCAAAACAGATTTTTTTGAAACAGTGCTGTCAGATCATGAGGAGTCGCGCTTGGAACATTGGAACTTGAAAGTGGAAAAACAAACAGGTCAAGCAGCAGGAAATTCACGTTCTGATCGAGAGTCACAGTAGTAAAAATGGCTCAAGAGAAGAAAGTGGGCTGCATTGTTCTTCAAAAATACTAATAGATAGACTGCACGCAACGCAAGAGAAGACGAGCGGAAGAAACATCTGCTTGGAGCCATGTACTGATGTACAGAAAGGTTTGTTGTGATATATAACAAACTCCCGAAAGCTATGAAGATACATTCTACTAGTTCATGATCTTCGATGATCTCGATATTTGTCAGGATCGAAAGGTATGTGCATGTGTGTTGTGGTACCAAGTATTTAAGCTAGGTAGGTAGGTTTGTCACCATGCCATGTCTAGCTTACAGTCACAGGTGTGGATCAAGGTATCTTGACAAGTCCTTGGTGAGGTGAGCTACTTCTTGTTGAGTTGCTCATTCTTTTTGCAACCTCTTGTGTGGATGTATCTACAATCACTTTCTCAACACAAGCTTGGTTGCACAAAAGTGAGTCTAAACATAAATCATTGCAAGAGTTAGTTGCATCCTTTTTAATTATGTCATTTCTTTTAGATGCCTTGGTGGGGGGTATTTTTACGGCCTCAAGATTAGCAACTTTGGTTGTTAGCTCATCACAATGTTTGCACATGATTTCCATTTTAGCAAGCAAACTTTGATAATCATTTTGTGAGCTAGCTAACTTTTCTTTTAATTTTCATTTTTCTTTCAAGTTACTTATCATTAATTGTGCATGCACTTGTTGTTGCACTAACCAAGTTGCTCAATTTTTAGTAGATAGTTTCTCTTGAAAACCAAAGCAAATTCAAAAAACAAAGATTTCAAAGATAAGAAGGCATATCATCATCACTATCGCACTAGATGATGAGGCTTTAGATGAAATGTGCAGCTAGCCACTGGCTTTTGCTACCTATGGCATTCTCTTGCCGATGGAGGACATGTAGTCCCACACTGACGGATCGGAGGTTGCACTCGTACCGTCCAATCTGAAGCAATGAAGCATGGCCTGAAATTTGCAGATCATCCATGCCATGCTGAATGTACGCATTGATCGTCTCAGGTAACCGCAAGGAAATGCTAGCTGATGCAATATTCTTCTTCAGAAAAGGGGAACTGTAGCCTGCTCTGCACCACCCAGATCCTACGCCATCGCCACCAACTTTAGTTCTGAAACGTTCCCTAATCTCACACTACTTTAATCATGCAAGGGTTTCACAGAAAGTTAGTGCATAGTGGTAAATTAAGGCCCTATTTGGATCCATTAATTGATTGTTAATACTTTGCTAGCTAATAGCTCATAGCTAATATTAGCTATAGATACCTATTAGCTGGTTTTGCCCAACAAGTGAGTAGTTATCTAATAATTAGTTGGACCCGTTTGGATCCAAACAAGCTAATTATTAGCAACTAAATATTCTTTTGAGGAATCATTAGCAAATAAATATTAGCTCTGTAGGTTTCGTTGTTAAATTGAAGATGGCGCGCCTCACTAATCAATAACCACTGCCCTTAACCTCACTCAGCATAAGCAGACTCCAACACGAAACCCACTACTACTCTCTCCCAACTTCATCATCATCTAGATGAATCGACCTTGGCCATGGCAGATTTCCATCCTCGGTCCAAGTCAGAGGCCGGTAAAAAGGGAGATCCGAAGTCATAAAACGCTCTCTAATCATGGGGACATTACGCATGAGATTAAGGGTATGCTAATTTAGAAATGATGATGACATGATGCCATCCATGCATACACACGTTAATAAATTAACTAATTAATGAAAGGATGCGTTCTTTTCTTTCCATCCAGAATTAAGGAAAAGAAATGGAAAAGGCCTTCCACTTCTCCCTATATACCCTATCCTTTTTAATTTGCAACCGTGTTACCCTAGAAAATAAATGTACTACTCAGTAAACTGTGATGCTGGCACCATTTCTCATTTTTGTCTGGTGGTGATTGTAGCCATGTCGCACTGATCAGAGTCAGATGACGAATCGTCAGCTTGTGAAGAGTTGTGACGAACGCGTCGTTGTTTGCCGGACCCGTAGCCCACGCCTTCCCCCCGCTGCCCCGCGTGCTGAGTGTGATATGTGAACAACCCGTGTTCGATTTGGACAGATTTTTTTTTTCTCTCTCGAAATACTACACGTGTCTGAATCGATATAAAATGTAAGCTTGTGTATATAAGTCCGTGCCCGTTCTTACTCATAGCTATTTATATATATAAAGATTAGCTGGTTCGATTTTAATTAGTTGGACCCGTTTAAAAAAGCAGTTATTTAATTAGCAAATATTTTTCTTTTGAGGTGTTTTCATTAAAATAAATATTATTCTCTGTAGGTTTCAAACAAAGATGGCGCGCCTCATTGATCAATAACCACTGTTTTAACCTCACTCAGCATATATAAAACCCGGGTTATCCAATGTGAACAGGACCCGGGTTATCCATGTCCGATTTTATTCTCGCTTTATCGTATCGGACGGAAGCATGGCTCTCCGACACGCATTTCGGATCGGCACCACTCTTTTAAGCGCGTGCGTACTCACTATTAGTATTTTCTTTCTTCTGCTCAAGCTTTATCGCATTGTACCTGCCTGCCTAGAGCGGTCCCGATGTTTGAGGTGTATTTGTTTGAGAAACTAATTCATTATAAATTGAGTGATGTATCATGAGTCCGTTCT